GCAATGAAACTGCCCCCTGGATTGGCAATGGGGGGGGGGGCTTTGGAGAAGCAGGGAGGGGGGATAGCAGAGGGGACTGAGGAGAGAATTCTTTCTGAGGCTCTCTAGAAAGCAGATTTGCCAAGGGGGTGTGGGGGAGGGGGGAGGCAGTCGAGTTATTTAAGTCTGTCCTGTGTTTCTGAAATGTGCTAGATCTTGAAGAGATGCTCAGCCTGTTCTCTGCCAGGCAGGATTGTTAACTGGAGGCTCTCTAGTCCCAGGGATATGGATTCACCCACTGAGTTCAATTGCTTGCCGTCATTTGAAGTTAACGAGTCTGTGTCTCTTTGCTTCCTAACCATAGATACAAAACTGTTTGCAAATGGAGCTGGGATTTTTTTTCCCCAATTAGATAACCCAAAGAGCAGGAAAATATTCATTTAGAGCTGCTTCACAGGTGGAAAATTTGGCCACAGAGAGAGCCAGAGGTGGTCCTGCTGTGACGATTCCTGACAGTGGGGTCAGTATTTGAACCCAAGACCACCGAAGGTTCCTGCAGAAGCAATGTTACGAAGGGTTGGGAGGATGTTTCACCTGTGTGCCAAGCCTGGATGGAGGTTGAGCGGACTATGAGAGTCACAGTTGCCCAAAAGGTGCCATCAAAACATTCTTGCCCAGAAGCATCCTGGTTGCTCCAGTGATCTCAGTTTCCCAAGTTTCCCAGAAACCCTCACGTCTTGGAGGGCTGGCGCTCTGAACTGGCCAGGCTGACCTTCCTCCATGATGCTCTCCTGCCTTGACCATGTTCCCCCTCCTCTTCAAAACAAGGGGACCTCTCTGAACAAGGGGTGCGCAGGGGAGGCCTTCTCAGGACACCCCCCCCAGCCCCAGCCTTCATAGGGAGTGGGTGAAGGGGGGCTGGCTGGTCATTGTGGTGTGGGAAGTCAGCCCCCCAGAGAAGGATCTTAAAAAGGCAGAAAAGCATGCCCAGTTTTCTTAATAGCCCCAGGTCTCCCTCCCCCAAGCAGAAACCAGCTCTGTACAAATGCAGATGTAAATAATCCAGGAAGGTTGGAAGCCCCCAGCTAGAAGATTAAGAAGACAAAGACACCTAAAATCTACATACCCCACCCAAACTCTAAGACAGGACATAATAGGATTAACTCACAGATGCCAAAGGGCACATCCAGACTCAGGTCAGAATACATGACACAGGAAATACAAAGCCTCAAACAGGAACAGGAAACAACTCCAAACAAAAGGCTCCAGAGGGTACAAAAACCCACTCCCTACATGTGCTCTCTCTTTTTTCTTCCAGAGCCATCTTTCTGTCTGGCTCGCCTCTTCAATAAACTGCAACCTTCTTTCTAAAGCAGTTGCCATGTTGTTTATCCCCGGCTTAGACTGAACCATGATGAAGACTTTTCCTTCAACAATGGGAAAACACAAGAGAGGGCAGGGCCAAAGCCTGGGGTGGAAAGGGCAGGGCGGGAAAGCTCATCAGAAGGGCACGTGCCCTGCCGAGCGTGGGCAGCAGATGCCATCCCGGAAGTATTTCAGCACGAGTGGGTTCAATCTGGCCGGTGTGGGAATGGCGAGCCAGGTGCTGAGCTACAGAGGTGGGGGGAGGGGGAGGAGGGGCACATAGCTTTCTCCCCTCCTCTTTCCTGGACTTCTGTAACTGCCCACAAATCTGTGCAGCCTCAGAAAGCTGATGAGTAAGGAAAAGAATGAGTAGAAGATGGTGGGACAAAAGAGAGAGAGAGAAAGGAGTTAGTTTCATGGCAGTAGGTTTCTTGGGTTTCACATATAGTCCTCTTCCTTATATGTTATTTCTATTGGAGAAGAGAAGAGAGGAGGGGAAGGAGAGGCGAGGGGAAGAGAAGGGAGAGAAAGAGAGGGGAGGAGAAGGGAGAGAAAGAGAGGGGAGGAGAGGAGAGGAGAGTAAACAAAGATATCTAAAATGTGGTTACACAAACACCATTTGTGGTTCTGCAAACCAGTCTGGCTTCTACAAACACACACCACCTTGTGGTTTAAATTCTCAGATCTCCTTTTCAGGATTTCATCAGTTCCAACACAAGTTTTCTCAAGTCTTTTCCCTTGCTCAGCACCTGTCATCTTCCCTCTGAAAGTGCAGAGCCCAGAGTCAGGCACGGTCCTCCAGATATGGCCTCACCAGAGCAGTAGGAGCAGATCCTGCAAGGACCTCACCTGTCAAATGCAGCCCAAAATTGTGTCAGCCCTTCAAACAGCTGGCTCATACACCCCATCCCAAGGGGTGTCACTTTTTTTCCAAGCCATCCCTGGTCCCCCAGTGTGCCCTGTTGTCTCCCACTTAATTTTTCCCCTGTGGAAGCACATCTTGTCCTCACAGCCAGCCTTCTAACAAGCCCAGATTGGCTCGCAGGCTTGTTCCAATCTCCCTGTGGCTGACCATCCTCCCTCTTCTCTTGGATCCTTTGCAGATTTGAAAAGCAGTCAGTCCTCTGAATAAATATCCGGCCCTTAATAAAAACACTGAATGACAAGACAGATCCCTGCAGGATCCTATGCTTCATTCCTCTCTCCCTCTCAGTTTTGCTTTGCAATATAAACTCTTGCTCGTTCTGCTTCTCTCATCAAACCATCTCAAATTATCTTTGTTCTGGGTCACCATTCGTCTTCCTTCAGCGGCCGTTATTTCCCTGACCTTGTTCAGTCTCTTTTCATCACACACACAGACTGAAGCCACGTGCAAGGGCGTTCAGCTTGTTTGGTGTTATGTGCGGCTGAAATCAGTGGTGGGATTCAGATATGTCAGGGGTGTCAAACTCAATTTCGCTGAGGGCCGCATGAGCATTGCGGTTGCCCTTGTGGGGGCTGGGTGAGTGTGGCCAGAGTGGGTGCAGCCTACTGGGTGGGTGTGGATGGAGTAGGTGTGGCCTACTTGGTGGGCGTGGCCAGTTCTACATCATATGCATCAAGGGTGCCTGTGGGGGCCTGGGCAGGAGTGGGACAGATCTGAGGGTCTCTGGCAGAAGGGGGTGGGACCGGGGCAAGTGCCAAGGCATGGTCTACCAGGGCAAGTGCCAAGATGGCCACCACAAAATTGTACATTGGCTCCCGGCCGGCCTGGGCCAGGGCCAAGGCAGAGGGGGCCGTTCCCTCACTGTTTCCAGGATGGCTTCGCAGGCCACATGAAACCACTTTGCGGGCCGTATCCAGCCCCCAGGCCTTGTGTTTGACATGTCTGAGATATGTGAACAACCGATTCTCTGTGTGGATGCTGCTTCGGGAAGTCCATTCTGGGCCTGGGCAACAAAAAATTAGCTACAGGTTCTGCCAAAGTGGTGTGAACTGGATATCCCCAACACTCGCCTGCCCTGGAGGAGGTGCAGGAGGAGGCACACAATCTTAGGTGCACCAAAGGGATGTCCTCCTTTTCCTTCTATGCTCCTGAACAAGCCACGATGTCTCAGACAACTATGGTCGGGCCTCGCCTCCCTGCCCCCGTGAGAGTCAGGGCAATGTTTTGGCACCTCCCTGGGAAGCCAGTCACGATGCTTCTGCCCTCTGCCAAGCACACAAGGGGGTCCCGGGAGTCTTTGGGTCTGGGCCAGGTGAAGGCAAAAGAGGAAGGAGCAGATGGGCCTGAATGAATTGGCAGCAGACCCCGGAACAGGCTGCTCTCTTCCAGCTGGGCTGGAGAGGAAAACGCAGAGAGTGACCGAATGGCCTCCCAGGCCTGGCACGACCCCCGTGCTCCTTGGGGACCCACAATGGACACTTGCGGTTGTGTGCAAACGCTCAACGTATCTGCCTTGCTTTGTGGAAGGGGCTTTCCAGGCAGATAGATGGCTCCTCTCCCAAAAGGGCTTCTCATTAGCCACTGACTGCTTGGCTCTGGGCTCCTCCTTGCACCTGCAGCTCCAGGCATTCCCATGGGGAAAGGCTGGGCCTCTTTTGGGCCCAGGAATCCCCACACACTCCCCGCAGCCCCAGCCTCTGTAGTGGTGGGGGGTCTCCTTCAGGCTATCAGGGTTGGAGTCTGCATTGACGGTGGAGATGAGAAAAAACATCCCTCATTCCATCATCTGAAAGGATGAAGCAAAGACCAGTCTGATTTCTCCCTAAAACAGTGGTGGCGAACCTATGGCACGGGTGCCAGAGGTGGCACTCAGAGCCCTCTCTGTGGGCACGCGCGTTGTCACCCCAGTCCTAGGCCTTCAGCTGGGTTTTATAACACCTTTTTGCTTTAGGCCTCCGCCGCCGTGTGCAAAAAAAAAGGTTCAATCAATCCGTCAATTTCAACTTCTCGCAGGAAAAAAAAATCTTGCAAAGTTGGAATTGATTGAACTTTTTAGTCCCACCCAGTCTGCCGTTACCACCACAGCCATGCCCACCCGATGGGCCACACCCACCCGATGGGCCACACCCACCCAGCACCGGAGGATGCATGTGGGTTTTGGGTTGCAGTTTGGGCACTCGGTCTCTAAAAGGTTTGCCATCGCTGCCCTAAAACATACAACAGTTTTCTGTGGCTTTTTTCATGAATGCATTTGGAAATATTACCAGAAAGTAATTGGTATGCTACATTAAATTGTTCACAGTGTTTATACGCTTATCGTATTCCAGATATTTTCCCACACTATAATTCCTTTTTAGCCTTTGTCCCTCTTTAGAATCTACACGTCCCCCAGTCCACAAGTTGCTTGTCACACGAAATAAAGGATAATTTTCTTCTTTGTAGTTGACTATTCCATGTTGCTGCTCCCTCCATTTTCCACCCACAGAATCCAGGCAAAAACAGCCTTTATGGGCTTCGGGGCAGAGCCATAGTCCGAAAGACAGAGCAGCTCCCCTCCCCCAATTTGGCGGTTCCCCGATTCTCGTCTTCTCAGCAAAGACCACTCAGGCCAGGACGGGGGGAAACTGTCATCAGGTTTTATTTTTTTTTCAACACATTAAATAAGCTGAATATATTAACAGGTATTTTCCAAGTATTATTAAAAATGCAGCTGCCTTCTCCACTGGTGCCAAGAAGAGAAGAAGGGCCGAGACGCCAGGCAGACCCACACTGAACCCACCCCACGCAGGGCAGAAGAGGGGATGGGCCAGGTATGTATCCTGACTGTCTCCCCGCCCCATCCTTCCAAGACACCCCACGGCGCCATAACCAGGGTGTGCCAGTCCCTCTCAGATGGCAGAATGAGCTGGCCCTTCCCTTGCCAGCCTCACGGGGGGCATCCCCAACCCGAATTCCCTTCACCCCAGCCCTGCATCTTCCTTCTTGTACCCACCCATGCTGGAGGGCATCACCCCACCTGAGCAAGAGGTCGGGGAACCAAGGGCTTGACCCCAAGGCTGCAACGGGGCCAGGCAGGGGAGGGCCAAAGCAGCAGCAGCCCCTTATTGCACAGAGACCGGGCTGGGCATCAGACAGCTCCTCCTGCCTTCTGACGGGCTTGGCAGCCCTGCCTTCAATATCGCACCTGCCTGTCCCAATGGGGCAGTGCCACCCCCTCAGCCTGTCTGGCTCCCAGAGGTCTGAAGGGCAGCCAGGACGTCCAGGTGGATCCAAAGTGCTCCTCGACCACAGGGCTAGCCTCAGGACTGGGCTTCCGGCAACTTGAGGCTGGGTTCTGCCAGGCCCGGTGCCAGGCCCTTGCAATGCTGAGGGTGCCTCTCCGGGCACTGCAGGCTCTTGGCCTCGCAGTTCAGGTTCTGGTAGCGGGGGGTGCTGGCGGCCGGCCGGTGGCAGACAGAAGCAAAGCTGAAGCTGAAGGGGACCAGGCAGCAGGCCGGGCAGGCCAGCACCTCGTCCTGCTCCATCACGCAGCTGCTGTTGGAGGGGCTCAGGGGCAGTGCCGTCCCCGGGCACTCTGTCTGCGCTCTCTCCACCGTGGGGGGCACACTCAGCTCAGAGAAGCCCCCGCCCCAGCCATGCGGCTTGCTGTTATTGTTCAGGAGTATTCCGTTGGGGGCCCACGGCTGGGCTGCTGATACAGCCGTGCTGATGAAGCTGCCGTTGGTCAACAGGGGTGCTGGGCTAGCAGATGCTGGCACCGGGCTGTCCGGACTGCAGTCCATCCACTCGCCGGCAAAGGAAACAGGGGGGTCCGGGGGTGTATGGTCCAGGGCCGAGAGCGGGCTGTGGGGTGCCTGCTCCCGGCGAGGCAGCTCTGGGGAAGCTGGCAGCGAGCGACACCTGCGCAAGATGGGGATGGGCTCGGCAAAGTTGCACTGCATCTCCACGGCGGGTTCTGGTGTGATGGGGGTGCCGGGTGGAAGAGGCGAGGGGGGCGGCAGATTGAAGGTCAGGGAGATCAAGGACTTGCTGGGCGTGTCGAAGAGCTTGATCCTGCCTCCCTTGAGGTCCTGTCGCTGGGAAAAGGGGTTGACTCGCTGTGGAGTGTCGTGGGCATGGGGCAAGGTGGGCGACCGAGGGCGGAACATGTCCGACTGGCTGCGGGAGAGGGGCTGCTCTGGGGTCAAGAGCCGTTGGCCAAGCAGGCCGGATGGGACGTTGGGGAAGGAGAGCTGCTTGGCCGTTTGACCTGGATGCAAAAGGAAGGGAGGGCATGTTAGAGGCACCCCAGAATGGCAACTCAGACTGCCCTACGCACTGCAAAAGCTGACGCTAGACCAGGAATCAGCTCAGTTGCACCACATTCTGAAGGGCTGGGAAGTAACTGCCCTGGCATACGCAGAGAATCGTGCATATTCCTCCTCCCCCCATGGCTCAGAGGCCCAGGAGAAAAGCCCTCCTCTGCCCCCCACTCAAGCTGAGGGTGCGAGGCCTTCCGAAGCTGCCTATTTCCATCTGTCCTACCTTCGCCCCTTCTCAGCACCCGAGACGGTTCCTGTAATCATAATTGTAAATAAAACAAAACCCAACCACGTGATCCCTCTTCCAAGGGGAGCAACTTTCCCACCTCTTCCCCACCCCCCTCCCTGCATCGAAACTCCTGTCTTGAGAGATGCTAACCATTCAGTGCGGGTGCCGAGTTGGCAGGGAGGCCTGTCCCGTTGTTGTCTGTCAGGGCCAGACCGGGGTCTCCCACCATCAGCAGCATCGCCTCCAGGCGCTGGACGATCTCCAGGAAGGAGGGCCGGGCCGTGGGCTCCATCTGGGGGCAGGAGAAGGAAGCACGTGGGGCGGCTCGTCTCTTTTGGGTCCAGTTGCAGGCCCAGTTTATGGCGACGGACAAGCAGGCCTCTGCACGTCTCAGGGATCTCCCTGGCCTTTCATGTTCTGCACCAGCTCCCTATTCTGCCTTTACCTGTGGAGCAGAGCTGGCCTCCCCTCCTTAGGAAACCCCTCCCCTCCAGCTCAGCCTGCTCTCTGCAATTCATCAGCCCCGGGAAAAACTCCCCACAGAATTCAGAAAGATAGGTGTGACTCTCCAGGCTGCCTGGTTGATTTGCCCCTGGATGGTAAAGCTGCAGCCCGAGTGGTGATGCCCGCAGCTCCTGTGAGGACCACGCCTTCCTTCTGCAAGGGATCCCACCTGGCCTGAGTGTCCCTTCCAGGGCTCTTCTCTTACCCAGCCTTCAGCAGCGCCCCACCTTCCTTGGGGGGAAGGGGCGCCAGGACCCACCTTGCAGCAGTGGAAGGCCAGATGGAGAAAAGCCGCTGGACAGTTGGCTCCCACCAGGTTGCAGAACGCAGCCACATCGAGGCCAAAGTCCTGCGGAGAGAAAGGGTGAAGGGAGGGAGGGGTTGGGGAAGATCTATCCTACCCCCTAAAGAAAGATGCTCTTTGGAGGCAGGACCAGGGAGCTAGCTGCCACACTGCCTGGACTCACCCAA